AGGTGTTAGTGAGGATTGCAAAATGATGCATCCACTGTGGAAAACAGTATGGAGGTTTCTCAAAATATGAAAACAAGAATTATCATATGATCTAGCAATCCCATTCCTTGGATTTATCCAAAAGAATTGAAATGAAGATCCCAAAGAGATATTAGCACTCCTATGTTCAGCACAGCACTATTCACAATAACCAAGATATAAAAACAACCTGAATTCCCATGGACTGATGAGTGGATAAAGAAAACGTAATATATACATACCATGGAATATTATCTATCCTTAAAAAAAGAAAATTATGCAATTTTCCATATGTGTGAAATTTGAGGACATTACACTAAGTGAAATAATCCAGTCAAACAATGACAAATACTGCATAATCCCACTTACCTGAGACGTCTAAACTAGTCAAACTCATAAGATTAGAGTGCAATGATAACTGCCAGGGGCCGAACGGGGAGGAGAAATGAGGAAATTACTAACCAACGGGCATAAAATCCCATTTATACAAGAGTGAAAATTCAGAGATCCACAGAACAATATTGTGCTTAGTTAACCATTTAAAAATTAGTTTAGGGCTGGGTTGTAACTCAGTGGTACAGCGCTTGCCTAGCACATGTGAGGCATTAGATTGGATCCTTAGCACTGCATAAAAACAAATAAATAAATGAAAAGGTATGGTGTCCATTTACAACTAAAATTTTTTTTAATTTTGTTTAGGGTGTAGATCTAACGTTAAATGTTCTCACCACAACAAAATAGAATTAAGGTGGAAAATGCTGTATTAAGGATCACATTCTATTTTAGGAAAGTGACTAGATATGGGTATGCTGTTTTCAGGGATTCTTTGGGGCTTGAGAGAAGGAATTATATTTCTCCTGTGGTCAGCATCCATACTAAGAATTGAAATGCTGGTAGCCAGATTGGTACAAGATTTCTGACCTTACCTAACTTCATCCTACAGTGACTTTCCTTATGTCCTGTGGTTTGTCAAGGCAGAGAGTGAATATGCCACTCTTTTTGTACCTCCTGTGCAGAAAAACATTTAGTTAGCTCATGAATTATTTTTATAAGTGCAATTATTTCTCATAATATGTGTATGGAACATCAATTGAAATCAAATTTACTACTAAATATGAATAACATAAGGTAAATTAGGGGTATCCACTCAATAGTCTGGAATTGGGCTCCCTGGTTTACAAATAAAGTTATGGTTATGGCACACAGGGGTGGTTTAGAGGCTCATGAAGAACTCCTTTGCTTTGGGTATTATCCTGGCTAAAGCAGATATTGTTAGGAGAATGGTGACAGGTGTACCACACAGGGTCCTGTATGTATGGCCTTGGAGGAAAATGGTCTTTTCTTCTCTTGACATCCTGTGTCCTCATAAGCCCAGTAGAACAGAATAGAGAGCCCAGAAATAAAACTAAACATAGATGGTCAATTAATTTTCACCAGGAGCACCAAAAGAACACAAAGGGGAAAGGCTAGTCTCTTTAATAAATGATGCTGGGAAAACTGTATTTCCACATGCAAAAGCATGAAATTGGATCTTTATCTCACAAAAAAAAACTCAAAATAGATAAAAGACCTAAATGTAAGATCTGAAACCATAAAACTCTTAGAAGGAAAAGCCTGACATTGGCTTTGGCAATGATTTCTTGGATGTCATACCAAAAGCTTATATAACCAAAGTAAGTTTAAAAATAGAATTACATCAAAAGCTTCTGTACAGTAATGGAAACAATCAACAAAATGAAAAGGCAAATCCACAGAGTGGGAAAAAATATTTGCAAAAAACATCAAATACAGAGTTGATATCTATGATTTATGAAGAACTCATGCAACTCAATAGCCAGAAAACTGGTAACCCAATTTAAAAATAGGCAAAAGATTTAAATAGTCATTTTTTCAAAGATGACATAAAAATGGCCAACAGATACATGAAAAGGTGCTCAACATCATTAATTATCAGGGAAATGAAAATCAAAACCATCATGACACCTTTGAGGATAGCGATTATCAGAAACACCAGAGATAACAAGTGTTGGTGAGAGTGTGGAGAAAAAAAAAGAACCCTTGTACAGTATTAGTGGGAATGTAGCTTGGTGCAGCCATATGGAAAACACAATGGAGGTACCTAAAGAAATTAAAAACAGAACTTCTTTGTGGCACAGTAACCCCTTTTCTGGGTATACACTCAAAAGAAATGAAATCACCACCTTGTAAAGACCCCTGAATTCCCATGTTAAATGCAGCATTAGTCACAGTAACCAAGATGGAGAAACAACCTAGCTGTCCATTAGTGGATGAATGGATGAAGAAACTGTAGTGTGTTAAACAGTGGAATATTACTCAGCTTCTTAAAAAGAAAGGAATCCTGCCATTGAGTGCAACACAGATGGAGCCGAAGGATATTATGCTAAGTGAAATAATCCAGACACAGAAAGAAAAATATTGCATAATTTCACTTTTATGTGGAATCTAGAGAATAAAACAGTATTTACCTGAATTGGGGTGGAAGGAAGGAGAAAAATGGGAATATGCAGGTGAAAAGTATACAAAATAGCAAATATGTAGGATAAACAAGTCAAGAGACACTAGGATTATAGTTAATAATACCATTTGGGGGATTTTTGCTAAATGAGTGATTTCTGCCCCTGCTGTTCTTGCCACAAAGAGGAAAAATAACTATAGATGTGAGATGATGGATCTGTTCATTTATTCCACTGTAGCAACAACTTTACCATATGCATGTATCTTAAAGTATCATGTTGTATGCCTTAAATATACATAATGATATTTATTTTTAAAAAATATTATGTCTGGGATGCAGTACAGATTTAAGCACATGGAAATACACCTAAGCCAAGACCTCTCCTACAAATTTCAGACACATTTGTGACCTGCCAATATGTTCAGTATTGTAATTATTGAAATTTTCATTAAAACTATGTTAATTATCATCCAAAGAAACTAGTTAAAAGAATAGTTTAAAGAAATAGCTTCATTAAAACAAAACAAGAACCTTATTGATTTGTGTCTATTTTTATCCAAAGCAGAAATTATTCTACATTCAAGTGTGTGTGTATAAATATATATACACACACACATTCAAGAAGGCATATATATATACACATGCATATTATATATATATATGTTAATAAAGTACACACATGCACACATAGACAGACAGACAAGCATGTGCAATCTTAACAGGAATATATACTTCTTACACATATGAAAATATCTAAGTAAACCCCACCATCATGCCCCCCTACAAGAGTGAGGGCCTAATTAAAATAATATATGTTCCATGCTTGTATAATTTTATCAAAATGGATTCTACTGACACATATAAGTAAGAAGAACTAATTTTTTAGAAGTAAAATAAAAACATGCCTATGGTAGGTAGAAAAAAATATTTGGCTTATGCATAGCCAACTTAAAATATCAAGCCAAAAAATCAAGCCAAAAAAAAAAAAGAGATGTGTTTTCTTGTAAAATGTGTACAAAACCAAATACACTCTATTTATACATTTATATAACAAAAACTCTTTAATTCCCAGTTCATATGTTTAGAATTTATAATGAATTTAATGTTCTCAGCACTTCATATAAGATGAAATTCTGACTAGGTGAAATACTAGTGCAAATAAAAGAAATATTTATACATTAAAAACTAACAGCTTTTAAGTGTCACTTTCATTTTAGTAGTTGTCACACTCAAATAAATTTCTAATTATAAATATCCAAAGCGATGTTAAGCCTGCCAAGATTCTATCTGTTCTGAGTACCAAAATCAATAGTCTAAAGTGACTTCACATGCACCGTTATTGTGTACATGTGGAGGATTATAGCATAGTCAAGTTCAAATCCTGGTTCTACAACAAGGGGGCTTTGTATTGAGTAAGCTATTTAAGATTTCTGCATCTTCGTTTATTCATATGTAAAAATAATAGTAATAAATAAAATCAATGTTGGCAAAGAAACAAAGAATGGCCAATCCTCTATCCCTCTTCCTGAGGTATGAGCCAGCTGAGAGATAGTGAGGAGCTGGCGGATGGAAATCAAACGAGTTCCTTTATTATAAGAAAGGCTAGATTATAAAATCCTTTGGCCAAAAGAACTTCCTCACCTGTATCTCAGAATCAGGCATGCTTATCCTCCTAGTCTTGGTCAGTGCTATGTATTCACCTGTTGGAGGCTTGGCCCCCAGTGTGGTGATGTCAGAGTAGAACTTTTTAAGGGATGGGGGGGCCTAGGGAAAGACCTAGGGTCATGGGGGACCTGCCCTAGAAAGGGAGTACTGGTCTCCTAGAGTGAGTCTTCCCAAAAGTAAGTCATTATAAAAGGCAGAGCCTGACCCCAGAGTGTCAGTATTTCAAGGAATTTGGACCCTAGTCTATATCAAAGGTCATCTAGCAGTGCTTAGAGACCAGAGCTACATTTAACTTTTTATATCCTAAATTCTGATTTTCATTATATTTGCCTATTAACCCTCAAACTTGGGCAGATTAGCAAGTGATATTATGCAAGCAGGCATTTTCCCACTTGTTTGGTATCATATTCCGTAAAATATATTTCTTCACTTACTATGTGGCTCATCCATGCATGTCTGGATGGACTTTTAATCATCTGCTTACCACCATGATCCAGGTTTTCACAGCTAACTCAGCACTCTGTGCTTCTTCAGGCAAATGAGTAGCTTGGCAGAATAGAGAGACTTTCTCATCACCAAACACAACTTCCTAACTCTTTGGAGAGTTCAGTGTTTATTTATATTTTCTCTTAATACCCGCCCCCATCAATCTAAGGGATGTTATATATTTCATGATATGACCCCCAAGTTAAATGCCCATAAAACAATATTGGTTTTAAAACCAAAATTTTTCAAGACACCATTTGTTTTCTCCACCACACACTAAAGGATAGAATGTCATGTCCCGGATTATCTAGGGACTCCATTTTTCTAGAGGTAAACTAAGGCAAAAATATTGTACCTTTTTCCAGAAAACACGTATTGCTCCATTTTGTCAGCCATGAGCTGATGAAGAAGCTGGGAGGGCGAGTTGTCTATCTCTTTTACCAGGTGTTTAGAGTAACAATCCTTGTGTGAAAGTTCTCCCTCCATAGCCTGGCAGCGTTTGCTGGCATCAATTTCTTCAACTACTGTATGCTTGAATAATTGATAGAGTCAAGTGAATGCAGGTTCCTTTTTTCACCAAGTTCCCCTTGAGTGCTTCGGCAACATGAGGCAATTTATCATGCTTTTTGTGCAACAGTGCATAGACTTTATAAAGAACGAATTTAGACTTTCTCTTCCTGTTCAAAAAAAATAAGCAGTTCTCAGGTTCACGACACCAAAAGCCCTGATTGGGATAGTTGGACCAGCAATATTAGCTGGCCCAAGTAACTCAAGTCATAGACCCCTTGTTCCTTTTTTTTTTTCATCTTACTTCATTTTCTTTTGGAGAAAGACCCAATTACCAAGGTTTGCGGATTTTTCCACAGAGATTACATTCAGCTCTTTAGCAAGAAAAATGCCAGGGCAATTAGTGGCTCTGGGGAACCATTAGCCATTTGTGTACTCTTTCAGAAGAGCCCATTGTGGGATGGGCAGGCTCTGCACAGGGCTTCCTTTTAGAAAGTGAACGCTTCTTAACCATTTGGAACATGCTTGAAATGAAAATCAACAGTGACACCCTCACAAGGACACCTTTGTTATATATTCTAGATTAGAAGATATCATGGCAGCATACAGGAAGCCCATCTGTTCATCACTCTCTGTTCACCTCCAGCTTGTGAGGGATCATGTCTCCTCAGCATTCAAGAATGTTCTCTGATATACTTTCAGGAAACCTGCTGCCAAGATGAAGGAATATATATAACTGCAAGGAAGATAGTCATTTCCTAGGTGGCATTCTAATAAGAAACCCATTTGCGGATAATAGCTCAATTGGAACTAATTTTCCATTATCCCTTGTGGTCAAGAAATAGCCTGTGTGAATTAATCAAATGTTCTGGTGCCTTGTATACTGTTATGGTTTGGATGTGAGGTGTCCCCCAAAAGCTCACCTGCGAGACAATGCAAGGAGGTTCAGAGAAGAAATGATTGGGTTTTGAGAGCCTTAACCCAATCAGTGAATTAATCCCCTGATAAGGATTAACTGAGTGGTAATTGAAGGCTGGTAGGGTATGGCTGGAGGAGGTGGAGCATTGGGGGCATGCCTTTGGGGGTATATATTTGGTATCTGGAAAATAGAGTCTCTGCTCTCTGATCATCATGTGATCTGTTTTGCCACACTCTTCCGCCATGATGTTCTGCCTCACCTTGATCCCAGAATGGAGCAGGCCTTCTATGGACTAAGAGCTCTGAAACCTTGAGCCTTCAAGCAAACTTTTCTCCCCTAAAATTGTTCTGGTCAGATCCTTTGGTCACAGCAGTGAAAATGCTGACTAAAACACATTACTCTACTGTTCAGTGTTGGTGCTACCTCTGAGAGTTGATCAATTTGTAAAGAATTGAAATAATTATGAGGCCAAAAGGAATATTATGTAATCTTTCATTGACTGAGACAGCCTAGGAATCTTGCAGGTACTTCTCAGGATTGGGAGCAGCTGTTAGATTCTAGTGGCTATGCAAATCATGCAGGTTAAAAAAGGTGCTGGTTAATAGAATGCCAGAAAACAGAATTATTATAGCACTCAAGCATTAATGCAGAAGATAATAGTCATGCCATTCTGAAGAAAGCAACAGAGTCTGAACTATTTTAATGGCTTAAATCAAACATACTAAAGTTTGGGAGACTTGCTTTCAAAGACAAAACAAAACAGTCCAGTAGAAGGATCGGGAGAAGAAAATGCATGTTTGATGAACATCATCAAAAAGAGAAAACTCACACCAGAGCCATAACGTTTTTAAAGTTTTTAATGCATTTGTGAGGATGTTTTGATCCTACGAGATAACTATGTAGATTTTCTAATCAGATAAATTAGGGCTCAAATCCCTCATGATAAGGAAAAGTTGACAAGAAACAGATGGACAACCTGGACATTTTACAGTGTCCTGTAGCCTAAAGGAGACTTGGGCTACCCTTGCTAAATGGACCTAAATATTTTTCTGCAGGAACCCAAAATCCTGGCATTGTTAGTGAAGTTTTAAGATGTCTTTAAACATCCAGTTTCCTTAGATTTCCAGTATCATCAAAAACAAATAAATATTGTGTTTTAAAAATTCTGTGTTTAGCCAGGCGAGGTGGTATATATCTGTAATCCCAGTGGCTTGGGAGGCTGAGGCAGGAGGATCGCAAGTTCGAAGCCAGCCTCAGCAATTTAGTGAGATCCTAAGCAACTCAGCAAGACCCTGTCTCTAAATAAAATATCAAAAACCAGCTGGGTATATGGCTTAGCAGTTGAGTGCCCCTGGGTTCAATCCCTGTATTTACAACTTTCAGCAAAATACCTTTTGCATAAGATATAGTTAGAAATTATTTTATCCATCTTCCCATATTCTTCACTTAAAATTTTATTGAACAAGCCATATACTTTGAAAATAGGGAACCATGGACTGTCATTCATATTTTCCTCTGGTTTTAGTTTCTGAGTGTTAATTCTACCTCAGCTCTTTTCATTTCAGTTTATAACTCAAGAGTTCCCAGGAATGGAAATTTTAAGATAGTCTACCCTCAGGACAGAAAGACCTTGAGCAGAGGTGTCTTCGTTAATGTCACCATTCTACAAACACCCTGCTGTGGTGAAGTTGTCCTATTAGGCCCAATAACCTTTCTTAGCTTGGGTCATTTTGTGATTTCTATTAATTTTAGCTCTACCGTGACCTACGTTATGCTTCAGGTAATCCCCATTTTTATATATATATAAGAAAGTATTGTCTTGCAGATAAAAATGTATTTACTAGCTGGGTGTGGATTACACACCTGTAATCCCAGCAATAGCTGGGGCAAGAGGATCACAAATTCCAGCCCAGCCTCAGCAACTTAGTGAGACCCTATCTCAAAAAATAAAAAGGACTGAGGATGTGGCTCAGTGGTAGTGCACTTGCTAGCATACAAGAAACCCTATGTTTGATGCCCAGTATCATCAAAAACAAAAAGTATTTACTATGTAAAAAAAAAAAACATTTAAAATACTGAAACTAATTTAGAAGTGTTTCTCCAAAGTATAGTTTAGATTCAAAGATCTTCTGCACTGCCCCAAATAAAGTGAATCTTGCTTGTAGAAATCACATGCTTTCAAAATACACAGGTCATTTTCCTTAGGCAATGCCTTGTAGAGCATGTTGGATTCTCAGTGCTGAAATTTTTTTAAATATTTTCAAATCACCAATTTCACTTCATTTAAATTATTTATTTAAATCTTCTCAAGTATTTGTAATCTGTTGTCTGGTCATTACCAAGTTGTTTCTGTTAAATGTCCCCTAAATATGAATCCATCTTTAATCAGATTGGTGACCTTGGGTAACTATAGTATTAACTTCCATGAACTATATTTTAGAGTGTATTTTCTAAGTATTGCAACTCATTTACTTATTTATTCATTTTCCCATTTTAATGCTTACTTTGTGCAGGAAACTGTTTTAGATGCTATGATATGGTAACTGACCAAAGAGTCTTTCCTCAGAAAGCTTAAAGACTGTTCATTATAAATTTAAAAACTACAAAAATATGAAAAGCAACAAATACTCTAGGTAAGATCTAGCTCTCAGGGAAGAACAGTTTTATAGATCAAGAAGAATTTGAGAGGGTTTGCTTTGCAGAGAATGGTATGTTTAGCTTGAGTATTAAAAAATATTTAAGAGTGGAATTTTAGGGACAATCCTAGTAAACACCCCAGGCAGAAGAGAAAACAGAGAAATCCAAAACCTTGGGGTTATGTGTAGTTCAACCCCAGTGAAGTGGAGAGTCTAAAGGGGAGGTTGGAAAAGTAAGTGGGGGCTGGGTTGTGGAGCTTTTAAACTTCTATAATACCTGGATATTTTTCAATGCCCAAGGGACAGCAGCAAAACGTTTTGAGTCTAACAGTCTAATCAGTCCCTTGGAATCTGAATTAGCATGATGGTGAACTCCAAGCAGGGAGCAGTTAGGGTTTGCTACGAAGGGGAAGGAAGGTTGAAGTAGGAAAGTGTCATTAGTGCCTGTCTATGCACAGATACTGCACAGGTAGAGATGGGAAGATTGGTGACACTTGGGATGTGTGGCAAAAGAGAGGAATCGAGTGTGACTCGAAGTTTTGGACTACTTACTGTAAGATAGCGTGGAACACTGAAGCAAAGTTTCCCCAGGAAGTCTCTCTACTTTCCACGCTTCTTGTCTCCGTTTCCTCCAGCTCTGCCTTGTAGGTCCATGTGCCTGTTTTTAAAAAGAAAAGGAGGGTCCATGTTTGTCTTCTTCATTAAGTTGCAGTAAGGCAACAGTAATATGGCAACCCCTCTTGCTAGCTTCAGAAATTGTTTGTCCCTTATAGTCACAGAGCTCCAACATGGTGTAACATTTAAGTTACATACCTTGGAAACAATAACCAGCCATGATGTATAGACCCTACCTGCCTTGTAACCCCAACATGATCCTTTGCCCAATGCAGTAACTGATTTCCTTATAGCCTTTCAAACAGAGTAAGTCATCCCTTTGAGAGGCCTGACCACCTTTTCTAAAGAAGTTTCTACCCTTTATTTCTCTCTGAGCTCTTAGTGTCTTTCCTACTTAGTACTTACTACAACTTGCAATTATTTTATTTGCATGCTTAGTCTTTCATTTGTTTGTTTTTCTGATATCACATGAGCTCTATGAAAAGATAAACCACGTCTCTTTTCTTGATCACTGTATCTCTAGCTCCAAGAACAGTGCCTCGTACTCCATAGGAGATGCTAATGAATGGATGAGTGAATGAATGAAGAAACACCCTCTTCAGAAAGCTCTAATCTAAATATACAGTCATATGCCCCTAAATAATTCAATTAAATATAAAAAGAAGCAACAATAACTACTAATCTTCTTTAATTTTCAAAGTAACATATTTCTATTAAAAAAAAAATCATGTTTCCAGCAGTGATGTTTGGGAAATAGAATGTAAATATTCTTTTGAGTTTCTTAATTTCCGTAAAAGCTCTGTGGTGCCACATCAAGTTACAGTGTTTTTCGGCTCTTAAAAAAAATTAACTAGAATGGCGAGTAGAATAGAAAGTATCAGCATGTATTGCACAAGTTCAGAATAGTTTCAAGAAACTTTTCTGTAGGAGTAGGAGTGGATCACAATGTCAATGTACTTCTCACAGTGATTCAAAGTCAATACACACCCTGGTACTTTCCATGTTATCCTAATCCCTTATCTGGCTACTGTCATAGCTCTTCAAAGCCAGCCTTGAATTGCCGTTCTGCAGTGTTAGAATTCCTAATGGTCTATTTGCAATAGAAGCCTCCCCAAAAATGTACCCGAAAATCCAATTTCTTAATATTTTCTCATATATCAATCTATCTTAGCCTCTCAGAATGCATGGGCTTACCCTAAAGTACATTCCCAGAGTCCTCTCTGCTGCAGAGTCTGGGCTTCTTTCAAGTTTACCAGGAAGACACACACACACACACACACACACACACACACACACACACACAGATACACACACATGTGCCCCCAAGGGCTCAGAGTGGAACAGTGATGAGGTTTGTTGCTGACTACCTCAAGATGGATTTTAAATAATGGTTTGACCAACAATGGAAATATTTGCTAAAATAAAATGCTAACTTTTTGTTGTTTGTTTTTTCCCCTCTCTCTCTCTCTCTTCAAGCTGCCTGCCTTGTGCTCGGCTGTATGATTTTCCCTGATGGCTGGGATTCAGATGAAGTAAAGCGGATGTGTGGAGACAAAACAGACAAGTACACTCTTGGGGCTTGTTCAGTCCGCTGGGCATACATCCTGGCTATTATTGGAATTTTGGATGCGCTGATCCTCTCGTTTCTAGCATTTGTGCTTGGTAACCGACAAGACAGCTTGATGGCAGAAGAACTGAAGGCAGAAAACAAAGGTAAGATGGCATTAGGGAGCTCTCACTGTATGCACACACACACACACAAAAAAAAAAAAAAAAATGGTACTCTCATTCTTTCCCATGAAGTTACTAGTGCTACCCTCTGGTTCTCATTTGCTGTTCTGTTAATACTGTCTAATTACCAGACTTTCCCTCAGACTTAACTATAGAAATTTGCACAAGCACTTAACTTTCTGAGGCATCTCTCTGTGGCTGCCTAAGTCTGTTATTATTTAAATGCATTTTTCCAGTTTCTTGTTCTCTTGTTCTCTGAGCTCAGGTTTGCCATCAGTTAATGGCTAAGATGAAACATTGTGGGGGAGTCCATTTAGTTGAATGGGAAGTGTTTCCGTGTGTTCAGTTATTTTCCAGGGTGCGATGAATGTCTGGGAAATCTCTGAAGTCATCACAATCACTTTATTTGAATTCAAACTCATCATCAGAGACAAGCAGTGACAAATAGTTGCAGTTAGAGTTTACAGTAGTTAAGTTAGCTGGATTTTAAACTTGTTATCTGGATAATCAAACGTCCTTAGATATCTTTTCAAAAGGAATTGCCCATTGAAACACAAAGAAACTAGCACAAAAGCAAGACTGGTGAGTAAATGCATAAATATGTTACAGTGGGTAAATAAGAGGTAGCAAGTCATTATTCAAGATGACTCTTGATTTTCCAGTTTTTAGAACAGAATTTTTATGTCAAGGTTTTGTTACAGACTTAAGTCCATGTGCCTGTTTTCTTTATGTTATCTCTAAACTTTAAAACTTTGAACTTATATCAGCACCTTCAACTGAGTGGCTCCTTCTACTAGCATTTTTTCCTAACTGGAAACTAAATCCATCCTTGAATTGTGAAATTTTGTTTATTTTTCAAGAAGTTGCTAATTTCAAAAATCACTTTAACAGGTCACCAATGTAAGCCAATATTAATTTCTACATAAATGTCACATGTAATGATGGCGTGGCAGGCTTCATATTCAGACCATCACTGTTTTATGCTTGTAAAGTGTGAAGAGGTAAAATGGAGCACTTCAGGAGAACAGCAGCATCCACAAACCTTAGTTCCCTGAGATACAGACAGAATGTGTGTGAGTTTACTTAGTCCTATCAAAAATACTCCAAACTCAAAAGCAACTTCTTCACAGGGAAGTCATCCTATAAACAAAACTACCTCCCTCTCAGAGTTGCCCTGTGTATATTAAAAAAAAAAAAAGACAATATGAAGATAATCATTATGCTTTAATTTGTGTTATGCCTTTAGCACATTCACAAGCACTCACTAATGTGGTTTTCTTGTTGTCTTTGTGGCTTGTTGAATGTATACAGTTCTCTGTCTAGTTCACTTCAGATTTAATGGCAAGGAGATCTCAACTTAGAACAAATCACGTTTCCTGAAACAATGAATTAAATAAAAGACCACCATGTTCTGCAAATACTTGGTTTCCACTGCCGCCCAGTAATGGACCAGAGTGCATTTGTTCCCTAAGTTCAAAGTTATATTGAGAACCTTTAATGACCTAGATATCCTTGGCCACAAATACAAGAAAATTCAAAAAAAGAGGGGGAAATAACAAAAGCAGGAACATTTTTACTTGGTCATTAAGAATTCCAATTCATGCTTCAGAAAGGAGCAGCCAGGATTATAGAATACATACTCCACAGTTTTCAAAATGGGTCTGTTTTCCTGGTTGATTCAGTTAAATATTGATATCTGATCCCTTCTGAATCTTCATTAAGAAAACTATCAAAAAAAAAAAGAAAAGAAAACTATCATTAGGAAGGAACATGTGGGTAAATGTTTAGTTGGGAAAGAAAAAAGAGACTGATGTAAGGTTTAGGGATTATCACTGTATGATTTTTCTATTTTCTCCATCTCCTCCATTTTGCATATTTCTTCCAGTGTGTTCTGAAGGTCTAAAATCAGTAGCAGTTCATCCACATCAGATCAAATAGAACCAATAATGCAACAGAGAGCATCAGGCCACGCTGATGAAACATTTTCAATGACAGTGCCTTTTCATTTCTCAATCCACAGTCCTTAATGTAAGACTCTTACATTATGTAAGATGTAAGATGCAAATAGCTCTCTTATGAAGGCATGTCAGGCCCTCATGCTATACGGTCTGTATAAAATCAGACCAAGATTTCTAAGCCTCACACAAAATCTAATCAAACCTGCCTGTTTCTAAGAAATGGTACAAGGTCTACGGTCTACAGTTGCTTTACAAAGCAGACTTTATTGTTTATCATTTAAACATTTGTTCAATGTTGAAACTTTCAAAGTCAGCTTGTTTGACAAAAGACCAATCAATGATCCAATCAGTGATTTTTTTTTATATTGTGTGTGGGAGCATAGTTTCACTAAATAGTAGTTTATTAGTAGCAGTTTAATAGTTTGATAGCTTTTAAGCAGATGCAATAACCAAAACTAAGTGTCATCAGTATCCTAAGGAAAGACAGATTAAAATATTAGAATAACTTATTATTATGAAATTTATTATACATAAATGGATAAATTTGCAATTTGTATGAATGTATTAACATAACTTTTTCATTATTAAAAACATTTTTCTCACTATTAGTTTTTTCTGATAAAGCTACTAAGATATCCCTTGGTAGCCAAGGCCTCGTGTTGGTTCCAGAGTGATGCAATGAGTCAAAGGCAAATCCAGTTCTAGCTCAGAGTTTTAGAAGAATTTGTTAGCCCGTGGTGCCCTCTGATGTCATAGAAGCAGCAAATGCCATATCTCAGACCTTGGCTCCAGAGAATAAATCCTTCATACATTCCTCTATCAGTTACATCACCATACACACTGCATTATCTTCCACCATTGTCTTCCAGTTCTGTGCTCTACCAATCACCATATCAATCTACTTCTATAAATAGTAGGAGTATCATAGAGGGAATAATTTTGCAATTGTGCCATACACCCTCAGATTGAAGAAGTTCTGCCTAAGGAGTAAAACACCTATTATGGGCATGTATTCTTTTTTTAGTTTTTATAATTAATCCAACAACATGCCTCCCCATTTATCTGGAAAAGCCACTATATAGAGTCACATTTTCCATGTATTTTTATAGCAAAAATATTGCTTAGATCCATGAGTGCTTCTCAACAACTACCCCTGGATAAACTAAAATGATTGTTTCATGAATTCTAGCATATATCAGGGAAGGGAAGGGAACTCAATTCTAATTGTTGAACTATGCTTCACTCACAGAGCCAAGATGAAAGGGAATTTAAAATGCTCCTGAGCCATAAATCAATCATCACAAAGAGATGCTATTCAAAGAGAAAACAAGGAGGAGGTATACAAATAAAAGGCTCCACCTCAAGATATATTTCCCATGAACTCACCACAATCTCATTTCAGCAGCCCCTCTACACCTCCCCAGTGCTTCTTAAGCCTCTCCTTTCCCAAGAGTGCAAAGGTCATTTTAAAAAAGTCTTAGCTGAATCTATCATAAAGTATGAAATGGAAAAATTGAAAGGAGGGACATTTAACGTGTTTTCAGTAAACTGAAAGTGACATTGAAGATGCAAGTGTTATCTTAGAGAAAATCTCTCTAAAGATAAGGTTAATCATCTATGGAGTTCCATCAAAATGCCAGGATTTTTTTTTCATGCAAAAAAAAAAATACCCCACTGTATGGAATCCAATTGACTTTATACAGGATTTGGCACATGCAAGAAAACTCAGCCCTCTGCTATGAACTGGGAAGCCAATCCTGCAGGCTGTGTGCCTCTGGCTCTGGGGACAATAGTGGATGGGCAGGTGTTCCTTCTTGTTTAGGAGTTCAGCAGCATGATTTCTAAATGAGCCAACAACAGTAGGCATTTAACCTTGATATGCTGTTTAATTGCATATTTTAACACACTGAACTGTGAAGTCAATTTAATTATGTAAAATTAAAGTTTCATCCAGATAAAAAGGATTTGAAATGAAAGCTTCAATTTCAATTTCTTTCATTAATTGTGAAAGGATAAATAATTACATTTGCCAGAGCTCCTATGCCACAAATATCTCTTTCCTTGTCAGACATCATTTATAAAGAGGTCTGTTTCTACATTTGTGTGTATAGTCTTTGGAATTGCTTATCAGATAATTGGGTGAGCAGTTTTAAAGTCACTTTGTCTTCTAGCACTTAAACTGCAAATGAGAAAACATGATTATCCATCAAGAGGTGACCCAAGCTACCATTTAATTATTAAGTGGCTTAAACATTTTTTAATACTATAATAGGTGGAGTTAGAATAAATTCATTTTGCTTAACTAATTGAGAAATCTTTTGAAATTTTGATTTTAGCGATCACACCATGCCATGGCCACATTGTGAGTGGCAGTGTTGTGTAGTGGAAAGAGCATGCACTTGAATTCAAGCTGCCCATTGCTAGTACTGTCCCTGATACTAGCTGACACCAACATCTTAAAAGTTCAAGAATTAAGCTTTTTGGTCTATAAAATGCAGGGTTTGTTCAAACGGCAACTGAGGTTCCTTCCAACTCGAAAATATTCCAATTCAGGGTACACCTTCAGAGGTGTCCTTTAAACAGAGGATCTGAGGGTGCTAAGAACTCTTGCACTCAGAGCAGTGAACACATTAAATACTTCTAGGGGCCCAATAGCATGTAAGGGTGATGGAGAGGAGGGCAATATAAAGGTTAAGGAGAACAGATTCTAGCGTACTGCTGTTTCCTCCTTATTGTACACCACCTGCTGACATGCACTGATGCAGACCGAGCCCTCATACCACCCACAGTGGAATGAATTAGATTTAGAAATTTGGACCCATGAAAGAGGATTCTAAAGCCATGTGGTGTCTGTGTGGACAGAGACAGAATACTAGTTGCTGATCTGAATTCCAGCAGGCCTTGGACACCCCCTGAACATCTCAGAGTCTTGGCTGCACCTTTTAAATATGGGAACACCTATACCCAGTCACACCTCCTCTATGGATTGGGAGACTTCACCAAAAGCATGTGGATGGAAGCAAT